ATGTGTTCCCTTCCTTTAAACATCCGCCAAAAACACCAATCAGTGTCATTTTTTCGTTTGCAGCGGCGGCGGCAGCAGAGGCGACAGCGTCAACCTTTAGGACTGCGGCAGCGTGACCCCAGCGTGGAACGTTTAGAGGCGCCCGCTCGCGCCAGCATCCTTCGCTCACCAGAAGCTCCTCAACACGTCTTGAGTCCTTTTCTCCTCCAACCACGAAAATGCTCTCTTCGGAGAGGGCGAAAACGTAAAAAGAAAGTTTCCGGATGAGGTGCAAGGCAAGAGATTCTGATAACCTGTCTGCTCCGCTATTAAAAAGCAGACGCCGATCGCGACAAAAAAGCTTTACTTGCCCAGCACTCTAATTGGATCATTTTTTGCAGCTTTAAGGTAGTAGACGATCTCAAAAACTGAAAATGCTCAATTGTCTGTGCCTTCCTGCTTTATGGAACATACCTTTACTGCGGTGAGAGAGGCCTATAATCCTGCACACGAGTAATGACTTCAATAAAATAATATGTACTGAGGAAGGCGTATAGGTGCCGAAGAACTCACCATTCACCAAACTGTAGGAGGCCCACCAGCGTTTTTGCATCTCAGCAATACGTTCTTCCTCTTGCAGATGGGGATCGCAACGTAGGACAGACCATCTTCTTTGATCTTTCGCCACTCCAAAGAGAAAGAACGTCTGACGCGGCCGAGATGTTTCGTCGCGCACGACACGGCAGCAGGGTACGACAGCAACTTTTTTTTCGTCCTGCACACCTGAAACGTGCCTGGATGCTTCACAGCTCTCCTCTCCCTTCTGACGTGACCTTACATTGAAGGGACAGGGTGACTGTTCATGGTCTGCATTGCCAATCCAATTCACAATCTGAAACAGTGTACAACTTTTTATGCAAATAAATGAGACTGAATTGCATATGCTTACTTGCATTCAAAGCTTCTCCAGAATGTTGGATAGGTCTCCATTAGGCGACTGCGGCACTCAGTCGTCGTTAGGTGCCACTGTACCTCTTTCAACATTGAGTCTCTCATCATGGACATCGTCAGCATGGTCCACCCAACGTGCGATGGCCCCAATAACCTTGTCCTCAGACCTCACTGATAGATCATTGCTCCGAAGCAAACTAAGCACATTTTCGGCCGGTAAGCGAACAAAGTGCTCAGTGGTCACGAAATCCTCAAAGCGTTTTTTCATTAGACTGACGCAGGTATCCATCAGTGGCTCGATATTCAGAGACTTGGCAAAGTCCCATGTTGCCGGCAAATTTTCTAAATTGACTCTTAAAAACAGACAGTCAGAGAGGATCAATCGGAAACTATTTACCGATTAGCCATGAATGTTGTTCCCCAGTTCACGAGGTCAGGGATCTTCAAAATTCGTGCAAGTATAATCATGTCCTTCACATTACGTTCTGTCAGTCTAACCTGGCCGGTATACACATACTGAATGAACGCAGTTGCGAGGCTAGAATGTGCAGTAACAGTAGGTTAAATTGAACAACCGACAAATGAAAGTTTTACCTGAGAGACACTGTCGGCCATTTTAGAGCATAATCGTCATTCCTGGGAAAACCACTAAGAGTTGCCCGCAAGGAGGGAACGCGGGCCGCTAATACCACTCGGTGTGTGTGGAGAACATCACCTCCCTTGACCTAAC